GTCAAACGTTTCGTTTGGGTCTATACCCTAGCTGCACTGATGAGGCCTGGAAGGCCGAAATGGATCCGTCTGCAGATATTGGGATTCCTTCCAGTGGATACTTAGTTTATCTTGTCATTCTGATCGGATTTTCTCTACTGTTCCATTTTAATTTTAAATAGTTTTGCATTATGTGGCCGTTTGCTGTTTCATGGGTTTTTCCCATTTGCCTTTTAAAATTTATTTATATTTCATTAAAGAATCTCTTTTTGAGATCCAGCAGGCCGCCATTAATGCACGGTAGAGATTGCATCTTTAGATCTCCGATCTTGTTCACAAATTCACGGACTAGTGCTGTTTTGTAAGAATTTCGTAGGACGCGTTAAAAGTGACAAAATATTCTTTGTATCTACTGGAATCGAGCCACATAGCATGTATTCCACTATTTGCATTCACACCTGGGCTGTGTATATATATTGCCTTGGTTTGGCTCTGTAATCATTAGTGGTCGTGGGACTGGTTTGGGCCCTACCTAAGCTGGACGAACGTTTCGTTTGGGTCTATACCCTAGCTGCACTGATGAGGCCTGGAAGGCCGAAACGGATCCGTCTGCAGATATTGGGATTCCTTCCAGTATATTGCTTAGTATATTTTGTCATTCTGATTAAATTTAAAAAGGCAAATGGGGAAAACCCATAAAACAGCAAACGGCCACATAATGCAAAACTATTTAAAATTAAAACGGAACAGTAGAGAAAATCCGATCAGAACGACGAAATAAACTAAGCATCCACTGGAAGGATCTTGTTCGACTAGTGCTGTCTCGTAAGAATTTCGTAGGACATGTTAAGAGTGACAAAATATTCTCTGTATCTACTGGAACCAAGCCACATAGCTTGTATTCCACTATTTGCATTCAAACCTGGGCTGTGTATATATATTGCCTTGGTTTTGCTCTGTAATCATTAGTGGTCGTGGGACTAGTTTGGCCCTACTTAAGCTGGTCGAACGTTTTGTTTGTCTATACCCTAGCTGTACTGATGAGGCCTGGAAGGCCGAAACGGATCCGTCTGCAGATATTGGGATTCCTTCCAGTGGATGCTTAGTTTATTTTGTCATTCTGATCGGATTTTCTCTGTTTCGTTTTAATTTTAAATAGTTTTGCATTATATGGCCGTTTGCTGTTTTATGGATTTTTCCATTTGCCTTTTTAAATTTATATATTATTGCGATCCAGCGGGCCGCCATTGATGCACAGTAGAGATTGCATCTTTAGATCTCCGATCTTGTTCACAAATTCATTGACTAGTATATTCTCTGTATCTACTGGAATCGAGTCACAGCTTGTATTCCACTATTTGCATTCACACCTGGGCTGTGTATATATATTGCCTTGGTTTGGCTCTGTAATCATTAGTGGTCGTGGGACTAGTTTCGGTCCTACCTAAGCTGGTCGAATGTTTCGTTTGGGTCTAAACCCTAGCTGCACTGATGAGGCCTGGAAGGCCGATACGGACCTGTCTGCAGAAATTGGGATTCCTTCCAGTGGATGCTTAGTTTATTTTGTCATTCTGATCGGATTTTCTCTATTGTTCCATTTTAATTTGGTTTGTGCTCCTTAATAGGGGCACCCCATTAAGGGGAGGTTTTTTAGTTCAAAATGTGTCCTCTTAACAGGCGTTATACTGTATATGGAAGTATTGTACATGTGTGTCTCGTAACAAACAGCATGATATTTGATACATACTTACTAAAGAATATAATTACCTAAAGCATCGTTTTATTTTTATTTACATGATTGTTCATTTCCATCATTTTTTGCCTTATATAATTCTGACATTGGTTGCTAGTATCTTTGTCATGTTCGGATTTCATACTGCCCACTAATTTAGCAGGCACTAAAACGTTTTTTTTGAAAACGAAATTTCCTTACCTCAGCTCCACCATGGTTGGGACTGAGGTAAGAAAATTTATGATTAAGGCACCTCAAAGTGGCCGGAAATGGAAATGACAAACTTTAATTATGACTTTTCTTTTTTCTCCATTTCTTTTATAATTTTAGGGGGGGGGCTCTGCCCCCTTGAATCCACCACTGTGAAATTATAATTTTTCATGTCCTTTACATCTGTAGGCCTACAATCACTGAAGCTGATAATTTCCAACAGATTTTCCAGCACATTATTAAAAATCAACGGGTAGAAGAGCGGGCAAAAAATGTAATGCATACTATAGCATTTCGCAATAATTAGGAACGATTTTAGTGAAATAATAATAATAATAATAATAAATGGATTTATATAGCGCAAATAAACGAGGTATCTATGCGCTAGACAATATTGAAGTCAAGAACACAAAGAAAAAAGCCGGGAAACAACAATATTGTAGACAAGAAAAAAAAAAAAAAAAAAAAAACAATAAACACCAAGCTAACACCCAAACCGATGTATGGGGTTACACCATCACCGCCAACCGGAGATCTGTGTTTATGTACTCCAGTTAACAATAATAATAATAATAATATTTATTTGGCAAAGTAAAAGTACAATCTTGCCAGGAGCAAGGAATAGGCACGAGCCCAAACAGTAAACTGCCCTTGCTCCGTCATCAAAATTTTAGTACTTTAAAAAAAAAAGGTACTAAATTTGTAAAAACAAGGAATATTCAAGATAAAAAATGAACAACAGAAATGTATCTTGCAATCAAGTATTTAGTTAGTTCAGCTTTGAAATCAGAAATGGTTGAGGATTGCTGAATTTGTACTGGAAGTTGTTCCCAAAGTCTTGGAAAAATTACAAAAGAGGAATTTAAAAAGGTATTGGTTTCGTCCTTCCAATGTATCAAACGCCCATCACACCTATCACTTGATCTAACAAAATCATTAAAGGAAGCATCCTAACCTGGACCAAACAGCACTAACTAGTGCAGAAAAACAGAAAATTTAAAAAAAAAAAAGATAAAAATGTAGTTATAAAGAGGCAAATAGAAAAGTTTTGAGTCGCTTCTTGATGTCAGTTTTGTTCAATTAAAATTTTATTTGATTAATTACTATTACTATTGATGGCCACGTATGGGTGCTCAACAGGCATGGTATGAAATAATTTAAAAGGGTGTAATTTCAGCCAAAACCCAACAAGCTCAATCAATACACCATTATTGTTATTAATACTACTACTACTATCGTTATCATCATTACTATATATTATTATTACTATTAGTTTCACTAAAATTATTATTCTTATCTTTGAAATTAATATTAAAATAAATATTATTAAATATATTTATTAAGTTACAAGAAAAATAAGAAGACAGACCATACTATAACAACAGTGAAAAAGGATACACCTATTTACTATGCCAATGAGAATGTTGTAATGAGCCAAGCAGGTGAAGTAACATACGAGACACTGAAAAAAACTGAAGATGAATCATACGAACAACTAACTTACAATCAACCTGATTCTGATTCCTCTACGGAAAAGGCATTGGACTGCACGTATGAGAATTTACCACCTTCGAGTCAAGAGAAAGTGGTCGAGAATGCACACCATGTGAGACCCAAACACCAAGTGGTTACGAGTCTCAGGTATAATCAATACAATATGTAATCATTACTATTTCAGTAGGATTTTGAAATCCAACCTCCAAACATTCAAATTCCATTGAACTAGAAGTGTTCTCTGCACACTATAAAATTAAACACACCAAAAGATTTATTAAATTATACAGTTATAGTACTCACTCACTTAACTAAATACATACTCAGACAAAATAAATACATACGTACACACACACTAACATGCATCATACATCTAAATACATACATACTATTAAATACACCATACGCTAATTAAGACTACTATTTCATCATACAGTAACTGCAACGTATTGTTTTTGTTTAATAAATTTCGTGTCCTGTTTTATTAATATATACTTTTTAATATTCAATCAGTATAAAGAGGGCGATATTGTAGTATCTAGTTTTAGTATATTTTTACAATTAAAAAAACATGACAATAGCATTAAATTATATGTGCATACTAATGGTGGTTGTTAAAAACGTTTTTAATTATTTCTAATTGAACTTTATGGTACTTATTTGATATGAACTTATTCCTCCATGGTTTAAGGATGATTTATTACAAGCTATATTTTTTTCATGAAGAATAAGTTCAAGAATAAACTTTAGGATAAATTTTGTTAGATCTAGACTAAAACTGATTAATGTCATCGTAGGACAGGGATAATATGCTCATGCCGCCTTGTCCTGGTGACAATTCTCGCTGCTGTGTTCTGTACAGGCAGAGGTTTTTCAGTTTCTGTTTTAAGGGGACCGTAAAAAGACTGTTACAATAGTCCAGGAGTGATGAGACAAATGCTTGCAGAAGTTTTGGTTGTTGTGGGTTCATTTAGAAATCGTCTGACAGAGTTGATCTTACAGAGAACATGAAAAGGTGATTGGCATACATAATAATTAATCAGTTTAGTAATTTAAGAGAGAAATCCAGATGTACGCCAAGGTTACAAACCAGAGGCGATGTGTCAATGTCTGCGTTACCAATGCTATCAACGAAAGGGATGAAACCTTACGAAACATGAGAAATGTATGAAATGTGTTTTTGACTCATTGAGAAACAGATTGTTGGAAATTGACCAATACCGGATGTCCTGAAAACAGGTAATAATTTTTTGCTACGCCAGGTTTCTATGAGATGAATTTTTGGCTCCGCCAGGTTTCTCTGACATGAGGTTAAATAGACTTGAACATCGTCGGCGTAAATCATGCAAATGACACCAGCTTTTGGCAATCCTATAAATGGTGTTAGCATAAAGTGCAGACCCCAGCTTTTAGCAGTCTTTTAGAAGATGATGCCCCATTAATTGTCACGAACTAGTAACTGTGATCTCTCCTGAAGATCAGAAAACAGCCATTCAAGAACTTTGTCACAGAATTCAAAATCAGATTAAAGTCGTCTAAATAAGAGCTGCATGAACGACGGTGTCCTCGATGATAGTTCTGTTCCGGAGGTGTCTGGATATTATTCTGTGCGATTCTACAAATTTATTAAACTCTCTCCTTTAGGTCGTAGTGACCATGCTTCCATTTTATACGAACCTTGTAATTTTCAAAAAAAGCATATAAAAAGGAAGACCTTTGAACGTCGCCCTCTAAAGGATTCATGTATGCAGCGTTTTGGTCAAGTCATTACAGGAATGGATTGGGATGATTTGATTCCATTAAACGGAAATGATCCTGAGTACCTCGCTGGTAAATTGGAAAGTGTATTAAGGGATACCTATACAAATTCTTTCCAGACAGTATTTGTTCGCGTTAAGGAAAGTGACAAGCCCTGGTTTAATCAACGTATAAAAAATACATTGATAAAAGACATCGTGCCTACAGAAAAGGTAATGATTTGCTATACCGATATTACAGAATGTTAGTACGTTATGAGATTAAATTGGCTTCGAATGAGACTCGTAAGTGGCACATAAAAATGTACAGAAGATCTCTGGACGATTAAAACCCAAATCTTTATTACTTGAGCCCAGTTGTGACTCTAATGTTTTTGCAAATGTTGTTAATAAGCATTTTGCTAGTATTTATTCATACTTACCGGCACTTAATCTGCAAAAATTATCAGCCTTTCTTCCCACATTTAAGCCCCCAGTCATATACCCTGGGCAAGTTTACAAACTTTTAAAGGCGATTAATGTTAATAAATCTTGTCATCCTCAAGATATACCGCTTCGTTTAATCAAAGAATTTTCTTTGGCGCTTGCTCCCCCTCTGTGCAGAACATTTAATTGCTGTCTCAGAAATTCCATATTCCCTTTTATCTGGAAAAATGCCATAATTACCCCTGTTCCCAAAAAACCTAAGGCTTCTATTCCAGATGACCATAGGCCAATATCCATTACACCGATCTTTGGTAGGATCTTTGAAGCTTTCCTTTCTGATTGGATAGCTAGGGATTTTAAGCCTCAGTTTGGGAATGCTAAAGATTCATCGTCTACCCATTATCTTGTTCAGCTTTGTAATAGGTTGCTGTCGGGAACGGATAGTCCGGGAACTTATGGTATGTGCCATAGACTTTAGTAAAGCATTTGACCGAGTCAATCATTCTATTTTAGTCAATAAGCTAAGCAAAGTGACCTCAAGTGGGACATGCAAATTAAGGAAGTTGTGTCCAAGGCATCACGTATGCTTTATATGTTGCATATTTTGAAGCGATATGGAGCCTCAACTGATTATCTTATTTTTACCTTTAATATGTATATTCATCCCATTTTAGAATATGCCAGTTCTCTTTGGCATTCTTCAATTACAAAAAAACAGAGTGATGAGCTCGAATTTGTTCAAAAACGAGCAGTTAAAATTATAATTGGATGTCGGAATTATGATAGTTATGCGAATTCTCTTGATGTACTGAATTTAAGTACGTTGCATCAGAGACGAATTATTAATCTCCTAAATTTTGGAAAGAATCTGCTATCATCAGAACGCTTTAAGGAATGGATCTCTGTAAAAGAAGAACCAATAAGATCACTTCGAAAGGTTAATCGATATTTTGTACTACTCTGTCGAACAAAAAGATTTGCCAAGTCAACTATTCCAAGTGTTATTGGACTGTTAAATAAAGATTAATTTGGATAATTGGCAATGTACTTCCTGAATTGAACTGGTTTTGTTTTGTTTATTGATTTTTTAATGTGTAATGTAATTGTTCGTATATGGTTATGACTGTTAACTGTTTTTAATGAAATTTGTATATATTAATAACTTAAAATTCTAATTAATTGATTTAATTAATCAATTTATGCTGATTGAAATTTTAATAATAATTGTAAATAATAATTAATTAAATTTTTTTTGTAATTTGAAATTTTTCTCAAATGTTAATTGCTGGTTTTATATTTCTGTATTTTTCTTCATTGATTTTTATGTAAGCTCTTCATTTCAATCTTGAATTGTATTTTGAGGCTTTTATACCTGAATAAATGAAAAAAATAAATTTAAAAAAATTTCCAAAGAACAAATCATAACGATAATATCAATGCAACAAAAACCAAACATGTGGTTCCTTGGGCTGTGGTGCAGGAAGTTGGCCTCAAATTGTCCCATAACTAAATAATAATACATAATTAATTTGCAAAAGATGGAGTCATTTTTGTGCCTTTGGCTGTGCCATGAATTTAAAAGTAATGACCACTGCCGAAAGCAAAATTGATATTGGTCTGAATCATTAAAGTAAGTTCAAGTAGATGAGATTTAGATGGGGTTTGCCCCGAATTTGCTTGTAATCTGGAATAAACGCATTAACACCTGCCTTGTGAGGGATATTATTATATCACGAAAAATCAATTGTAGCCAGAACAGTTTTATTAGGTAAATTTTTAATTTGGTCAATTTTGCGGATATAGACCGTCTAATCCTGAACATACAGGTGGAGAGCAACAACGGTCCTTATAAATTATCCACATATTGAGAATTTATTTTCTGTAGCAGTACCGTTGCCCAAAATGATGGGTTTGCCAAGATAGCCTGCTTTGTGATTTTGGGTAAGACACAGAAACGTGCTGGGTCAACCTGGATATGATGGGGTCCAATTTTGGGATCGATGGAACCTTTTTTACTCATCGTTAATACTTGAGATTTTTCCACTTCCTTGGAAATTTCTAGAGTTAGGGTTCTCTGTGAGTTAACAATAGTGAAAAAGATAGTTTAGTTTTATTAAGGACTATTCTTAATGGAATTTAATGTCCATAACGACAGTGGTAGCTTCATTATCAGCTGGTTTGACAATAATATCACACTGACATAAATTGGCCATGGCATGAATATCATTTTTTTTTCAGGTCCTCTTCAATGGCCTGAATGGAAGTTTTTAAAGCTCCAAATTCAGAGTTTTCAAAGGTGCAGACACTCCGATTTCGGAGTAACCATACCTCCAAGGTTATTGATGTAATATATGTGATTATTATCATTATTTCAGTAAACCTAAGAAATCAAAGCATACGATAACAAAACTGAATACACCTATCACCTGTGTCAATTTGAGTAATGCAGTGAGCAAGGCAGACGAATCAGCTTATGAGACACCTATACCAACTGTACAAAATTCGTACGAACAACTAACTTACAAACAACCTGCTTGTGAAACATCTACGGAAAACAACAGGTATGAAAAATATACAACCACTTTGATTTTTATACTATTTTTCCAATGTAATAACATGCAGCGACCTTGTTTCAGGATAATTCATGATGTGAATATAATGAACAAAATATTCATAGCAGGTCGAGATCCATGAAAAGTCGTATATAAAGATGTGGGTTACCCACATCTTTATATTTGCAAAAGTAATTAAAATTGTTTATTGAGCAGATTAATGACACAATGATAAACAATTGTACAAATTCGGCTGATGCATATGAACTTCTATTTAGAGACATAATTTCATTATTTTCTTTCCAAAAAACTTAATAAACGTTTACTAGCACCTCATATCGACTTTTGAATGGTGAAAATCGGCTCAGTATAACCCATTTTATTGAGTACAAATTTTAAGTTCATAGAACATACTGCTGTTACATCTTCTAGTTTTCCCCCACCGTTGTATTTAGGTACACGCTACAGTATACACAATGAGCCTACAACTTTGCATAGCAGAGTTCTGCACGAGTGATTCAGCCCACATCTTTATATGTCTGAGTTAACGCATGAATGGTTTTATGGACCTTCTCCAGATTTTTTCCTACCCCACATCTTTATATCTAATTTTGCTGAAAGTTCCGCTTGAACAATTTCGTGGACATTTTGCTATCTGCACATGACATGCTTCCATTGCAGGGTTTATAATGTATTGAAAGGCAAAATCTAGGAAGAGAAGCCAGCAGCTTACTCTCCGGAGTTTTAGAAGTTATTTTATATTTTCTTTTTATATTATTTTGCTTTTTAAGCTGCTGGCACCTAGCTATTGTAGTCTTGCTTGATTTTTTTATTGCCTTTTTTTAATCTTAAAATAAATGAATGATTGTTAGATAGGATAATTTATATGAAAGAATAGTGGTGGTGGTGGTGCTGTTCTTTATATTTGAAAACAGAGACCTGCATATGAAAAATGAAAACTCAAAACAGAACCATTTATATTTTACGCATAAGTCGAGAAAAAGGCCAAAGCAATGCTCTAATCAAAGTTTTAAAGTAGTTAGGCAGCACCAAAGTGGGAAAAAATGATTTACAAAGCGATTTTTGTTGGAAACTGCTGATATCGACCTGAAATACCACCAAAAATAAGTTGGATGGATTTCGGCCATGGGAAAAATTTTTTTTATGACCTTTTACCTAAAAAGGGTAATTCTATATAATATAGTAGCAAGGTGGTGGGGGTAGAATAGATACGGTAGCCATATTATGTATAAAATATCATTGTTCAGGACCACTACATTTTTTTTTTATCAAGGGTTGTGCAAACATATCATTAATGATGTCAGAAACTTTCAAAGGGCAAAGGTCATTGCAACAAATTGGCCCATACCTTAACAAAGCAATGGATTATGTACATTCCTTTTGAAGTTCCTGCTTTTTTCTCTAAACAAAGTGTTTTATGGCTCATTAAATCTTAAATTTTTATAATAATTTCACAATGGCATCCAAAGATGGCCGACACACATTTTGCATAGCTATTATTCAGTAACAAGTGGCACTTACTTTGCAGTGGAAATTTTTTATTTTCTTGGTCATAATATACCATGCAATAAAAAAAATGTAAATCTGGTTTAAGGAATATATGAACAAATATTGAACTTAAAATAAAAATAAATATGTAATAATAAGCAAGGCACATGTCATTGCTGAAGAACCACAGATTCTTCTGGACGCTTAAACCACCATTCCATTGTGGTCAAGCTGTGCTGACGTTCGCCATGTTTGTGGAAGGTCACGGGCTCGAGTGTCGGTTGATTTTTTTTTATCTTTGTCAGATTTCCTTTTTGTTGCATTTCAA